ACACAGAATTGTTACTGAGGGACACAGAATTGTTACTCAGGGACACAGAATTGTTACTCAGGGGACACAGAATTGTTACTCAGGGACACAGAATTGTTACTGAGGGACACAGAATTGTTACTCAGGGACACAGAATTGTTACTGAGGGACACAGAATTGTTACTGAGGGACACAGATTGTTACTCAGGGACACAGAATTGTTACTGAGGGACACAGAATTGTTACTCAGGGACACAGAATTGTTACTCAGGGACAGACACAGAATTGTTACTGAGGGACCAGAATTGTTACTCAGGGACACAGAATTGTTTACTCAGGGACACAGAATTGTTACTCAGGGACAGACACAGAATTGTTACTGAGGGACACAGAATTGTTACTGAGGGACACAGAATTGTTACTCAGGGACACAGTTTGTTACTGAGGGACACAGAAGGGACAGAGGGACACAGAATTGTTACTCAGGGACAGAAATTTTACTCAGGACACAGATTGTTACTGAGGGACACAAATGTTGTTACTCAGGGACAGACACAGAATTGTTACTCAGGGACACAGAATTGTTACTGAGGGACACAGAATTGTTACTCAGGGACACAGAATTGTTACTGAGGGACACAGAATTGTTACTCAGGGACACAGAATTGTTACTGAGGGACACAGAATTGTTACTGAGGGACACAGAATTGTTACTGAGGGACACAGAATTGTTACTGAGGGACACAGAATTGTTACTCAGGGACACAGAACTCAGGGACACAGTTACTCAGGGACACACAGAATTGTTTACTCAGGGACACAGAATTGTTACTCAGGGACACAGAATCGTTGAATTAAAGAGTATGTCAGACAACATGCAGAGGAGTGGCAGAGGAGGCAATGTTTTAGGAGCGAGCAGACGTGGCAGCAGAGGAAGGGGTCGAGGCAGCACTAGTCGCAGCCAGAGGCCAGTGCTCCCGGTGTCATCCAGCGGTCGTGTCTCCACCGACAACCCTGCCGTCATCGATTGGTTGGCTCGGTCGTCTTCCTCTTCCCAGGTCACCTCTGACACCTACAGCCAACGGTCGGTGGGTACGTCAGACACAACCGTTAGTTGGCATGGCCCGGGAGCAAGCCCACTGAAATCACGTGTCCTCTACCTGCCCCTGTCCTTTGGTGTTCCCTCACCAAGCGAAGTATCGCATGCTGTGGGCTCAGCCCCACTGTACAGTGAGGAAGAGCTAACAGAGGGCGGTCAGGAACGGGGGGAGACATCCGCCTCTTCAGCAGCCAGGCGAAGAAGTAGTGGCGAGGAGAGTGGCTCGGTAGCCGGTCTAGAGACAGGTCTGTCTCCTGACCCACACGCAGCCGAGGGGGCTAGTAGTGAGGCGGAGACCCTAATTGATGATGATGAGGCTGATCGCACTTGGCAGCCTCGTCGTCATCAGGCTATTGCTTCCGCATCATCAGGAGAAGAGGGTGCCAGCTTGGCAGCGAGCAAAACAGTCGGTGGGTTGCCCAGGAGGCAGCAGGGTCGCAGCAGTGTCAGTGGAGGCAAACGGCCACGGAGTAGAGCACCAGCTCCACTGCAGCCTACCACCACGGCCAGTAGTGGTGCCGGTGTGCACGGAGGAAGTAGCAGTCAGCCAGTGAGGAGTATCGGGGGCAAAGTTTCCTACTCGGCGGGTGTGGCAATTTTTTCGTCAAGCCGCCCGAGGAAGTAAACGTAGCCGTATGTCGACTATGTGGCCAGAAAGTCAAGCGTGGCCAGGGGGCCCATGTTGGGACTACAGCGTTGCGGCAGCATATGCACGTCGCCATTTGGTGGCCTGGGAAAACCGTGATAAAGATACGGCGGTTCTGCCTGCCCCCCCAGCCCCCGCTCCATCACCCGCTCCGTTACTTGCTCCGTCACCCGACGTCAATCGCCCTCTATATCAGCCAGTCAAGGCTCCAACACCTCTGCTGAGGGGAGTTGTCGCTCGTTGGCATCTTCCGCTCGTTCAGATGCTCCTTCTCCTGCTACTCCTCTTCACGGATTCCGTCAGCAGTCTTTCTTGGAATCCGTTTCCAAGAGACAACAGTTTGCGAGCACGCACGCACCCGACGGTGCAAAAGCTGAACGTCCTCCTGTCCAAGTTGCTGCTGGTGCTGCAGTCCCTCCCTTTCCAAGTGGTGGACTCAGCACCTTTCCGAGAAATGATGGCTTGTGCCGCGCCGCGGTGGAGAGTGCCAAGCCGTCATTTCTTCGCCAAAAAGGCAGTGCCAGCCCTGCATTCACATGTAGAAGAGATGGTGGGCCAGTCTTTGAGCATGTCGGTCTCTGCCAAAGTGCACGGCAGCGCCGACGTGTGGAGCTGTAACTACGGTCAGGGACAGTACATGTCATTTACGGCCCACTGGGTGAACGTGGTGCCGGGCACAGCCGCACCAGCAACTTGGACAGGTCACGCCGCGCTTTTGCCTCCACGTTTGCACGTCCTTGGTCCACAAAAGATGTCCGCCTCTACCACCTCTTCTTCCGCCGTGTCCTCAGCCGCCACCCCGTGCCAAGTCCCATTTACCCGACCGGCATATCACATGTGCAGGGCGCAACGGTGTCACGCTGTGCTGCACCTGGTATGCCTTGGCGAACGTAGTCACACAGGGGAGGAACTTCTGAGTGTAATGAACAGAGAAATCGACAGATGGCTGTCTCCGCGCAAACTGAAAATCGGAACCATGTTGACCGACAACGGAAAGAACATGGTGTCTGCTCTGCGTCAAGGAAGGTTGTGCCATGCCATGCATGGCTCACGTGTTCAATCTGGTTGTCAAGCGGTTCCTAAAATCCACCATCCCACTGCAAGACATCCTTAAAATGTCACGTAAACTTTGCATGCATTTCAGCCATTCCTACACCGCAAAGCACACCCTCCTTGAGCTGCAGCGGCAGAACGGAATTCCACAGCATCGCCTGATCTGCGACGTTGCAACAAGGTGGAATTCAACCCTACACATGTTAGACCGCCTTTACGAACAGCGAAAGGCCATCATCACCGATTTCCTGATGTTACAAGCGGATAAAGGTACTCCCCTGTGTAACTTAGATGTCAGCCATTGGCAGCTCATGCGTGACACCTGCCGCTTGCTCAGGCCCTTTGAGGAGGCCACGCTATTCGTGAGTCGGCAGGACTATGGGATGAACGACGTCATTCCTCTGTTGCACGTCCTGGAACAAATGCTGTTAACAATGGCTGGTCAGGGTGCGGTAGACGTGGCGCACAGATCTCAACGCCACATGACCCCTGTGGGGGCAGGACAGGAAGAAGAGGAGGAGGTAGAGGAGGACATTTGTGCTCAGGAATTATTGAGTGAAATGGGTGGTTTTTCCACTCAGCGGACAGGAGTGGAGGAGCAGGGAGCATCTGGTAGAGGAGGAGGAGGAGGAGACAGAGGACCCAGACGCACCGTGGCAGTATGCTGTGGAGATGGAGGCAGGGAGTCCCTCGCATTCCTTGGCACAAATGGCCCATAGCATGCTCGGTTTGCGGTTGCTTGCGTAGCGACAGCCGAATAATAACCATCAGACAGAGGGATGACTTTTGGCTGTCCACCTTGTTGGACCCTCGCTACCGTTCAAAAATGGTGGCTTTTTTTCACACCTGCTGAGAGGGAGGCCAAAATAACGTACTATAAAAACCACCTATGTAGTCAGTTGGTCTCTGCCTTTCTGCGCCAACGTCCATCCTCAGACACTGTGGGCCCTGTGCGCTCGCGTTCCGCTGCCATGGCAGCAGGGGAGGGGTGGGGTGGTAGGAGCAGTGGCAGCTCCACCCAGCAGCGGCTGCCTCAGTCTGCAGTCGATGATGAGTAGCTTTCTTCACCAGCGCAGTGAGGAAACTACTAACCCAGCAGCAGCAGCAGCAGCATCAGGTGGACCTGGAGCAGGACCTCAAACAACAGGCTTGGGCCTACTTGGACAGCACCCTGCCAACCGAGGTAGACAATCCCCTTGACTACTGGGCAACGAAACTTGACCTTTGGCCCCAACTAGCTGAATTTGCCCTTGAAAGGCTGTCATGCCCGGCCAGTAGCGTGGCATCGGAGCGCGTGTTTAGTGCGGCAGGAGGTATTGTAACTCCGCGGAGGACACGACTGTCCACCCAAAGTGTGGAGAGACTCACGTTTTGTGAAAATGAATGAATCAGGCGTGGATTAGTCTGGATTTCAAACCACCAGTTCCTGACACAACTGACTAAATCCGCCATGAATCATGCCCCAAACATGTGCCACTTTCAGGTCTCCTCACACTGCTGGTGTGTTCCATTTTTTGTCATAGGGTGCTGGCAGATTACGGGCCTCCCATTGCTGCTGCTGCCAGGCCCGTAATCTGCCATGGGCCCCTGTACCGCCTCCTCCTCATGCTGCTGCCAGGTCCAGAGTGTCTCATGGGTCCCTGTACGGCCTCCCATTGCTGCTGTCTCCATCGCCACACTCTGCCATGTGCCACTTTCAGGTCTCCTCACACTGCTGGTGTGTTCCATTTTTTTTGTCATAGGGTGCTGGCAGATTACGGGCCTCCCATTGCTGCTGCCAGGCCTGTAATCTGCCATGGGCCCCTGTACCCCTCCTCATGCTGCTGCCAGGTCCAGAGTGTCTCATGGGTCCCTGTACGGCCTCCCATTGCTGCTGTGTCTCCATCGCCACACTCTGCCATGTGCCACTTTCAGGTCTCCTCACACTGCTGGTGTGTTCCATTTTGTCATAGGGTGCTGGCAGATTACGGGCCTCCCATTGCTGCTGCCAGGCCCCGTAATCTGCCATGGGCCCCTGTACCGCCGCCTCCTCATGCTGCTGCCAGGTCCAGAGTGTCTCATGGGTCCCTGTACGGCCTCCCATTGCTGCTGTCTCCTCCATCGCCACACTCTGCCATGTGCCACTTTCAGGTCTCCTCACACTGCTGGTGTGTTCCATTTTTTGTCATAGGGTGCTGGCAGATTACGGGCCTCCCATTGCTGCTGCCAGGCCCGTAATCTGCCATGGGCCCCTGTACCGCCTCCTCATGCTGCTGCCAGGTCCACAGTCCAGTCTCATGGGTCCCTGTACGGCCTCCCATTGCTGCTGTCTCCATCGCCACACTCTGCCATGTGCCACTTTCAGGTCTCCTCACACTGCTGGTGTGTTCCATTTTTTGTCATAGGGTGCTGGCAGATTACGGGCCTCCCATTGCTGCTGCCAGGCCTGTAATCTGCCATGGGCCCCTGTACGCCTCTTCATGCTGCTGCCAGGTCCAGAGTGTCTCATGGGTCCCTGTACGGCCTCCCATTGCTGCTGTCTCCATCGCCACACTCTGCCATGTGCCACTTTCAGGTCTCCTCACACTGCTGGTGTGTTCCATTTTTTGTCATAGGGTGCTGGCAGATTACGGGCCTCCCATTGCTGCTGCCAGGACCGTAATCTGCCATGGGCCCCCGTACCGCCTCCTCATGCTGCTGCCAGGTCCAGAGTGTGTCATGGGTCCCTGTACAGCCTCCCATTGCTGCTGTCTCCATCGCCACACTCTGCCATGTGCCACTTTCAGGTCTCCTCAAACTGCTGGTGTGTTCCATTTTGTCATAGGGTGCTGGCAGATTACGTGCCTCCCATTGCTGCTGCCAGGCCCGTAATCTGCCATGGGCCCCTGTACCGCCTCCTAATGCTGCTGCCAGGTCCAGAGTGTGTCATGGGTCCCTGTACGGCCTCCCATTGCTGCTGTCTCCATCGCCACACTCTGCCATGTGCCACTTTCAGGTCTCCTCACACTGCTGGTGGGTTCCATTTTGTCATAGGGTGCTGTATGGCCTCCCATTGCTGCTGCCTCCACCGCCACACTGTGGCTCCACACTCTGGTTTTGGCCCCGTGACTGCCCAAATGAGTGAAGTGTGCGGTGATTCTAAGATCGACGGCACTCATCTGCATGTCATACTGACTGACAGTATTATTTCTCTTCCCCAGCAGACTCCAAGGGCATTTAAATTAAAGGTACAGTGTTCTGCACTAATATGAAGGCTCTCTGAAGCCTAGAAACACCCCTTTTATAAGTTAAATTCGCAGCGAATATATTCGCATCGAATCGAATTTATTCCTCGAATTCGCCGAATCAGCCGAATCGAATTTTTGAATACTTCGCTCATCTCTAGTTGACATGTGTTAGTAAAACCGGTCATATCCTTACAACTACTTTGTACATCCAGGTGAATTATACCATGTTTTTTTAAGGACAAATTTTTTTTTGTTTTTTTTTATTATCAAAAGAAAACTGGCCCAAAATAGTAAAATAAAAATATTTTTTTTTTATTTAGCTGTGTGTTTCTTGTTACTACCATAACCGACCACCAAAGAACAACGCAAAATAAATTCTCCAGCTCTTGATAATCGCAGCGATACCATATATGTTATTTGTTGTTTGACCTTTTGACTTTGACCTTTGACCCTGACCTTGACCCAAACAATAACCCTGGCACTGAACTAGATCAAACCTTGATCTAGGTATTTTTTCTTTATTTTTTTATTTTATTTTTTAAGATTTATTTATCTTTTTTTTTTTTTTACAAAAATTTTTTTTCTCTCTATGCCAGGAGTTAGAGATATACAATGTATCTCTCTTCTCCATTCATAGAGAAAAAAACAAGGGGGCCGGGCTGCATAGTGACTGATCACTGTGATAGCCAATCAGAGGCTATCACAGCGATCATGTGACCCGGTATCAGGAGACCCGTTAGAACTGACCCAGGGCTCTCAGTGACACCGCGGTCTTTGTGCTGTGAGCGCAAAGCTGAGCTGATTGCTGATGGCCATGTGGACCTTCCCATATGGAAGAAAAATAAATTTGAAATATATTTTAAAAATATGGCCATATTCAATATATTTCAATAAATATATATATATATATATATATATATATATATATATATATATACACACACACACACTGCATGTTGAAATGCATTTTTATTAGAAAATATATAAAACATATTTTTAAAAATAAATTTCAAATATACTGTATGTCTGTATGTAAAAATACAAATCTACATTTTTGAAATGTATGTAAAAACATATGTTAACATTACTTTTTTATATGTTAAAACAATCTGAAGAATATATTTAAAAAATATATATTTTTAAAAATATATTCTTCAGATATTTTCCTCAAATGCAGATTTGTATTTTTAAAGACATACAGTATATTTGAAATTTATTTTTATACATATGTTTCATATATTTTGTAATAAAAACGCATTTCAACATGCAGTATATATAGCCACACTTGCACATAAGGAAATAAATGGCTGGATGGAAGTTCATATTTAGCCTGAATAGTTGTGAAAAGTCCTAATTTATTGCCAGAATCTAGTAGATCTTTAAGAGTTTTAAGTCCTCTGCCTGTCCATAAAATGAATAATTTATCTGAGTTATCTGGTGGAAAAACCACTGTAGAGTGGATAGGTAAATATGGGGAGATAAAGTCAGATTATGAGTCAAGTATCATAGTTTCGCTCCATGCCATTAAAGTATCACTAAGTAATATATTTGATTTTAACCTGGTAGGTAATTGATGAAGTGGGGAATGAATTAGGCCACTTAACCACTTCAAGTCCGGACACTTTTACCCCCTTCCTGTCCAGGCCAAATTTCGGCTTTCAGTGCTATCACACTTTGAATGACAATTGCGCGGTCATGCAAGGTGACACTGTACTACTTGTGGGAGGGTGAAGAAGTTTTTTTTTTTTTTTACACTGATTGCTTTAACACCCATAAAGGCTGTAAAAGCAATCATTTCTCCTTCTCTCTGGCTGCATTCTTGCAGCCATTGAGAACTACTGAGTGAGCTGTTATTGGTCACAGCTTGTCACATGGTACAAGGCTGTTGTGAATAGCCTTGTACCATGTAACCTTTGTGATCATTCACAGATTTCACACGTAATAAACAATGATGTCAGAAGTGACATCTTGCTTACTACTCTGCATGTGATCACTGATTGGCCAATCAGTGATCACATGATCGGGACCTCGTCCCTTACGACGATCAGTGTTCCACTGTGTCTCCCAGGGAGCGCGCACAAGCAGGGGGCAGGGAGGCCATTTATAAACGGCCACCCGACCCTGCACTGTTTATATACAACGGCCGGACAAGAGGTGGTTAATGACCATGGAAAAATCTGTTTTTCCAACCCAATAGTAGGGAAATATTGTGTATTTCTATTCCATTACCTCACATAGCAAAGTAAACAAGAGTAGCACTATCCCCTTAAGGGTTGCTGAGTTATTGTTTTGGGTTCTCTGTCTCTCTCTGAACCACCTGCAAAAGCCCAACCTCTGCTGACACCACTGTACTCTTCTAACCAGAGAAGAGTATGACCAGGAAACAAACTCACACACAAAGTACAATAAACTGGTAAGTAGTTTATGATTAGGATTGACTGCAAAAGCAATAAACAACAAAAAAACTTTGTATGTGCATAAAATGGCAGTTATCACTCTTAACCACTCAAACGAGAAAATAGCATGTAAAACAAAGTTTCAACAATACCAGCAGGCCTGATACTCAGAATTTATTCCAATGTTTCAAGTCTGAAGTGTTCTTTCTGGGTCTCAAAAAGTGAGCAATGGGAGCTATCAACAGGGTGGCTAGCTCACTTTGGACCTTCAGAACCTAAGGGTGAGGTTTAAATCTAGATGAACTAGAGCTCTCCTTAACTGGAAGAAGAAATGCAATGTCCCATGAAATGCACACAAAAAAGTAACTGCACGCTTGTAGGGGCTTAGTTGGTGAAAACAACAAATAAAGAATTTGAATCATGTCCCTTTAAATGGAACTTTAACTTGTTGGTGTTCCTTTAAGTACTTTAAGCAGGGTGCAGCTTGAAAGAAAATAAAGTGTATTACTGATTAGTAGGAGTAATTGGTAAACACAAGGGAACAACTCCTCTCCAGGCTTCCAATGGCCTTTAACAATGATGACCAGTGTTCCTTTCTGGGGGACCCAGAGCCAATGAAATAATGCTTTAAATTGCCCAGTAGGAGACAGGCACTGAGCTCAGCTCTGAGGGTTAAGTTAGGCTTGGAAGGATATGTACAGACATAGGCCGGAAGGTCTGGGCCACAACATGTGCTCACTAATCTCTGTGTCCTCCTCTGTGTGCAGGAACTGATAGATTAGATAGAGATGTCAGTATTCTCTGCTCTGGATGGTGTAAGGAATTCCTCACCCAATTAGCTGCCCCCAGCAGATCTTGGAGGTCTCTCTCTCTTTTCTACAGCAGATGGAGACTTTTAGAGGTCCTCCAGTCTCCACTCTTCAGTGCCCGGTCCAGTCACAGCTGGCAGGATGTCCCTCTCCACAGGTTGGCAATACTGGTGGTCAGTAATCCCTCCTGGCTCCTTTCCTCTAACAAACTGCGGTTGGGTACTCTGGCGTCCAGCATAGCTCTCTCTCTCCACTCTTTCTCTCCAGCTCTCTCCCCTCTCCCTTCCTGTCTCTGTTCCCAGGCTTCTAAATTTATATCCCTCTACCCACACACCTGCTCTTTTGGGAAATGTAATCCCCTTAACAAAGCCCTGCAGTTCAGCCTACAAGATCCATGAGGCTGTTCTCCTTTTTATAGTGTGAGTGCCACTGAGTTGCAGAACACTGCCATGTTGTGTCTGTTTTAACATCCTGTAGCTGACGTTGCAGCAAGGTGTTACTCAAGCAATTATGTAATGCCAAAGGTCAGAGAGATTACAGCGCAGTGCAGCTACAGGCCAAGTGGAGTTTACCAGAGAAAATGGCGCCTGGATGGTCTATATAAAGAGCATGGTGAGGTGGCATCCAATTGATTCCCCCTGAGAAAGCCACATGACCCTGTGGCGTAACTCGTAGGGGAGGGGCTCTGACGTCACAACGCCATTACGAGATACGGCGAGTATAGACAGTTGACCTGGTATTATACACTGCTATTTTATGGATTGTTACATGTGAGTGTGCATTATATAAAATAAAGCTACATTGTTTATAAAGGATAAGGCACTATTATTGTTTTCTCTTGCATGACACGGCATTATACCGAGAGATGGAGTCAGCTACTAGATCCGCACAGTAAGAGGGATATCTGTTCCCCCATCCACCCACTAAGGCAGAGTGGTTTTGGAGAGGAGAGAGGGAGATCCCTAGTGGGAGGAAGCTGGTACTACAATACATCCATCTACAGGAGGATCACATCTGTTCTATATGGAAAATACCACCTAGTCCTATAAGCACACAAAGTGTTATTAGCCATACTAATAGTTTGGCTAATACAGGAGGTAAGCGGACACCCATTATTTGACACTGAGAGTGGATCACGGCACAGTGTTGCACATTGCTAAAATTGAAAGCACAGAGTGGACTATTATGTTTTGATATGCACTTTCACACAGTTCTGCACTGTTTGAAGCACTTTTTCAGCACGTTTTACTTATTGTGTTTTAATTAATTTTGTATTTCGCATGTTGTATAATACATGGTGATATGGTTTAGGAATTCAGAAGCACACTGTAGAGCGCAACATATATGATTATATTTACGGGTTTACTAGAGATATTCTTGTTTTTTTATTTAATAATAAACATTTTACAGAGGCTCTGTTTAATCTGATTATATCTGAGTGTTCAAGTAAAAGCAGAAGCATCTGCAAAGGATATAACAATCTAGGGAAACAAATTATTTATTAAGGTGGACTCATCAAAAGAAATGGCAGGTATTTCCAAAAGTTTAATTCCTGAAGAATTTTTATGATTACTCACATAAAGTTCAGATTGTATAGGTCCAATGCATTCCAAAATAAGTGAATAAGTCCTCTACTCTTTTCAGACCTACTGATCTTAGCCATTCAAAATCTGCCCGGTGGGTGTATATACTCAGGAACAAAATTTCACTCAGAGCAATTTATTTTTAATCCTAAAAAAAAGCCAAACTCTTCTATATGTTCCATAATGCAGGCTAAGTGGGTCTTAAGGGTGCAAAAAAAATTGTATGATCTGCAAAC